GTACAATCTCTCTCACACGCATACATATCTCATTTCCCTGTGGGCATCGGAATCACACACGCGCTCTTCGTGTATTTCTCTCCCTCTGTCAGGGTTAAATTCGTCTTTCTACCCTATCCTACAAGTCTCTCACACAGAAACACACACGCTCTCTATGTCTAACACGCCCACCCCTTTAGTTCCGCCCACCCGCAGCCACTAATGTCTCAAAGTATAATAATGTCTCTCACACATATGCTATCTACCTATCCCTTAATATAGCTAGATATGTGTCACACAAACTCCTTCTCCCTACTAGCAGGATGCCCATGCGTTGCAGGAACATCAAGATGCATTTGTATGAGAAGTTTATCTTGTGGGAGAAAAGGATGAACGAGGGAATGCCTTATTTGCAAATGCGGAGAGGGGTGTGGGTATCTTTTTGCAAAATTGCCATATTTTCCTTCCTCTCCGTCGGATATAAATCGGATGGCCTATATTGCAGGATGGCAGGAACACCATCATCACCAACTATATTTTTTATAAGAGTAGAGATATGTGAGTGTCACTGCCCCCCCCCACACCCACGCTTCCCAACACCGAAGGAGTAGGGTGACACCTCGATCTTGATACTAATCTATCGACTGGCTTCTCTCTCAAACATACACACACACACTACCCGGCACCGAAGGAGTAGGGTGACACCTCGATCTTGATACTAATCTATCGACTGGATTCTCTCTCAAACATACACACACACACACACTACCCAGCACCGAAGGAGTAGGGTGGCACATCGATCTTGATAATAATCTATCTACTCCTCTTTCAAACACACGCACACACACTCGCTAGTTGTGCCTCTGTGCCTACCGCGCACACTCTCGATACGTCTTTCTCCCCCTCCCCCCCCCAACAATGACAGCAGAAGGGTGACAACTCGATCTGATCATAATCTGTCAATTGGTTTCACTCTCAAACATTGTGTCTCGGTGCCTCGCTCGGTAGCCGCCTCGATATGTAGACTTCTCGCGCGCGCACAGCTGTAGTGACGATGACGCTGAACCCAGTGTGCCTTGTTTTAACCGGCCTCATGTGATAGTTTTCACCCTGTTTTCTGTTAATTAACAAGGCAACATTTTCTTTGTTACTACTAGTGAATCTGAAATCATTCGGGTTCGGGGCAGACATAAAATATATCACTTCAACCCAATTATTGCAGCAACTATTTTAAAAGAAATTAGCTAGCTGCCCGTGCGTTGCACGAAACATCAAGATGCTTTTGTATGAGTAGTTTATCTTGTGAGAGAAAAGGCTGAACGAGGGAAGGCCATATTTGCGAACGTGGAGAGACGCGTGGGTATATTTTTGCAAAATTGTCATAGTTTCTTTCCTATCCGTTAGATATAAATTCGACTGCCTATATTGCAGGATGGCACGCACACCATCATCACCAACTCTGTTTTCTACTCCCTCCGTCCGAAAATACTTGTCATCAAAAAGGATAAAAATATATGTATCTAAAATGAAAATACGCCTAGATACATTTCCTTTTATCCATTTTGATGACAAGTATTTCCGGACGGAGGGAGTATTTGTCTTTTTAGAGATTTCAACAAGTGACTATGACCGGATCTTACCAACATACTCAAAAAAGTAGTCCATAATTTTGATGTTACCCTCTTTTCTTGGCGGTGCAGTGCCATCTGGATACCTCATAAATAAATCAAGGACAAATCTGACCCCTTCCTGGAAAAGACATACGTAGCAAAACGAGTGAATCTACACTCTAAAATATGTCTACATACACATCCATATGTGGTAGTCCATTTGAAATCTAAAAAAGACAGATATTTAGGAACGAATGGAGTATATATAGGAGTAGACATGGAGATATATCTCCAGCATGGTCTACAACAAAAATGTGCTGGGCTGGTTAGCGCCGGATGCTCGCAACACGATGACATGAGTGCGAATTCTGTCTTTTAACTTTAGATTTTTATATTATATATTACTCTACTTATTTAATATATACTTCTTTTGCTACTATACTGACAGTGGAACCAACATAGTACTTAGAATATTAAGGATGGACTTGTTTCTTTTTAACTTTCTGTACGAAGCTGTAGCCACCCTGCAAGTCGCGTGTACACTGTACATGCAATTAACTTTTTATAGAGGGACAATCATACAGACAATTAACTCAAATGGATTGGATGTCACTCTATTATTTCCAGCATAAAGAGCATCTCGAACGGCAGCCGGCAAATTTCCTCCCACTTCCTTCCACGGAGGACGACATCAAACGCCAGCGGCATGCATTTTTACAACTCTAACCAACCAGATGAAATTCGTGCAAACACGGACTGATTTCATATAAGCACGAAAGATTTCATATAAAAAAGCTGGATCTTCATATAAACATGATGGATTTCATTACATTTACATGAACTAAGAGGTGCCAATCCGGCTCTCTTGTATAATTAATACTCCCTCCGTCTGGAAATACTTGTCCTAGAAATGGATATATCTAGACTTATTTTAGTTCTAAATGGCCGCCCGCGGATCCCTTTGTCTTCCTCATGTCCGTCAGACACTTGCGGGGTCGACAAAGGTCCTCGGCAGAGACGAAGCAGCAAAGAAACCACCTGAATCCGTGGTCGTCGCGTCAGCGGTGGCCTTCATGGGTCCCAAGGGGCGGCGACCTCCCGTGTTCTACTTCTCCTCGATCATGGCGGTGGACACGGAGAAGCTAGCCACCGACTCGTCCCTCTCCACGCCCCCGGCTTCTATCTCTGCCTGCATGGCGCTGCCGCAGGCACAGGAGGCGCGCCCACAGACACGGGAGGCGGGGCCACCGCAGACACTGGTGGCGCGGTACGACGCGGCAGCGACAGCGCCCGTACCGGCGTGCTCGCCACCGTGCCGACGTGGAGCAACTCGCCACTCCTCATCGAGCTGAACTGAAGTGGCGAGTTGCTGAACCACGCGCCTGCTTGGGGCAGCAACTGGCTCCGTCGGGCCAAGCGAGGTTGGTGAAGCACCGAGCGGCCTCGCCCTTATCCGGAGGGCTCGGCGGGCCACCCAGCCGAGTAATATGCCGGAGAATGGCTCATCGGAAGCCATCGGAAGGGTGAAGAAAATGGTGAAGGAGGAGATGGCGGAGTGGCGGAGGGGTGCGATTCTTGCCCGCTGTCTGTCTGGCCTCGTGTAAATAGAGGGCGGATGGTAGGAGCTTGGCCGGCGTCTGGCCTCGTTTAAACCGAGGGCAGACGGGAGGAGCTCGGCCGGTGTTGCGTTTAATTCCGCCCCGCTCATGAACGAACGTGTGGCCGAAGTAGGATTCTCGGTTTGCATGCGGGTTTAATGGAGGGATTTAATGGAGGCGCCAGGCGTGCAGCGGGCGGCGCAGTACTATTCGATTTGATAGCATTAATGAGCCGTTAAATCACAAAGGCTCTCACCTGTCGTGAAACCGACCGAGCTAGACTGCCCCGCCCTCTAGCCTTTTAAAAAATGTATATACTCCACTTTTGTACAGTAGTAATAGTATCGATGAATGGCGCCATGGAGCAAAACTTCAAATTGAAAAAAAAGGTGGTACATATAGTGAGCACTCGTGAACTATGTGTCATGTACATGGCAATAAATAAAGTACTACATGATACTAAGGCTGGTCGTAATAGAAATATCATAGGTAGTATCATGCATGCCAACTAAGCAATTTTGATGATGTGTCATTGAATTAAATGAGAAAAGAGGAGCTTGAGTCGAAAATCACCAGGCGCGGACGAGCTCGCGCGCTCTCGCTATCGTCGTTCGTCCATCACGCGGAGATGCGAGGCTACGGACGTATTGCAGGTGGCGGTTGGGGACAGTTAATGCGTATACGAGACGGGAATGAGACGGCGTTGTGGACGACGTTGTTGCCGATGTTGGAGGACGGTTTGACGGTGAGTTGGTAACGTGCCGTCAGCACTGGGTTATGTACCTATCTGTACCGGAAGTAAATGGACGGGCTGCAATTTGGTAACCGTCGGAAGACCATTATTTTCTTTGCACATCCACGAGTGTGCTGCTAGCCGTGCCTATCAATTTTGGCAATAAAAGGTAGGATTTTATAAAACATATGGAACAGTAGATATTTATATAAAAAATGTATGGAGGCAAGTGAGGTGAAAGTAAATTTTTTTGTGAAGCGAAATATCCTTTTTTTGTTTGCAAAGGAAAATGTGAATATTTGTTAGGATGGGAAAACCCCAACCAGTTTTTGTAATCATGTCTGCACCAATTGCCTTCAGAAGAAAAATACTTTCATTATAAAGTTTTAACAATGAGCATATAGAACATCACCCAGAATAATTGGTACAATAATTTTAGCAAACATCTGTACTAAAAACGGTAGAATTAATGGGTAGCTTGAATGTAAAACATAGCCAAGATATTTATAAGCAAGCCAGAAGAAGCATCGATTTTGCTAACTACTGGACTAAAGAGTGTTTTCTAACCGGCAGTGTTTTTAACTCTGGTCTAACAGTAGACATGTTGTGCTCTTGTGCCTGATTCACAACATATACTGCAGAAGCGTGTTCATTTGCTTGTACCACATCCTACAACAGTATCCACATGAGGCAGAAACTTACTTTTTTTGCTCTTTGCACTGTGATCATCATATGGAGGCTTGTCTCTGTTGCTGTTAGTCAATCGGCCTTCCGTTTGCGTTCCGGAGCTGCTAAACCAATGAAATTTCCAACTGCGCTACCTTCAGCAGCACTCCCGTATACTTTTGCGGTTCAGGAACACACTCAATTCTATACCTTTTGGTTTGTTGAACTCAATTCTGTTCTAAACCCAGACCATCATGCTGAGAAGCTAAAGGGGTCAGTTTTTCCATTGTTGATATGAGAAACTCCAGTATTGTGTTGCTTCATACATGATCTCACCAAATTTATCGAACATCGCCCTAGTGTAGATTTTGCTAGCATGGAACTCTAGTGTTGTATTTACAGAGCAGCCATAGACTATCTCCTGCATGCATTTTGTTCTATCCATTCCACATTAAGCCTGCTCTTGCCATAACTTATTTCAAATCCAGTCTCCCAGGAATAGAGATTGTAGTAATCAAATGTGCTTCCCACTACAGGTACTATGACGGTTGGTGTCTTCTCATTTCCAGTTGTCCTGCCGGCGCAGGGGGGGCGTTCCGTTGGCGCTCTACCAACACGGACTCTGCATAGATGAGAATTTTGTTGTCAGATGTTCGGAAGCAAGCACGCAAACCAATAATCCCCTCATAATCTCCGGCAGCAGCGGTCTGCTATATGTGATATGGAGTTTCAGATATAGGTTGTCAGTTAGATCTTGCAATGGAAATCAAAATTCAGAACAACTACGAACTGGGCAAACCGGAGCGATTGAGAGGTTATACCTTCTTGTCCATCCAGGCGCGTGAGGATCGTCCCTCCCTGTTGACGTCTCTGAAGGTGCCACCGTCAGGGCGATGGCTTCGCAAGTACTGTTCAGATCGGCAACCACTGTGAGTGCTGCATCCCCAGCGTCGCGCATGCTGGAATCTGATCGGGCACGGATAAGAACTTCAGCGCCTTCGTCATAATCCAGGGAGTTGTCGTGGGATAGATCCATCGGTGGAAATCTACCAAAAAACAAAGCAACCCGCAATAGTTGGATGTCTTCCTGTACGGCGCTGCCAGCATCTTGGACGGAGAGGCGAAAGAAAAGTGAAGGGAACATACCTGTTCACGGGATCCGACAGGAACTCGAAGCCATTGCTTTCCGCCTCCGCCATCGCCATGCCCGCGGGCTCGGGAACTTGTGCGGCGGATCAAGGGATATGGTTTTTTTTCCGTCAGATGCAAATTGGATGCCATTACATGTTAACGGGTTAAGTACCGTGTTGTTGCTGGTTATGTACAAATGGAACATCAGGCAGCCACCGTCGGACTTACCGGCCCGAAGACGGGCCTGTTTGTGTATACGACTGTTGCCTTGTACGGTTGTACCCCCGCGGTGCCAGTGGAGGCAATCATCGCATCCACGCGTCGATCTCCAGTTCGCCAGCACTAACGGGAGCAGGCGAGGACGAGCGCTCTATCGCCGCACTCGAGCTTGAGTATCATATACTACTTTGTGTCATGCATGTCAATAAATGTAGTCCTATATGATACCAACATATGATACCATGCATTACGGATATAGTATCATACACTAGTATTATATGCATGATACTAGTATATGATACTCCCCATTACAACCAGCCTAATATGTGATACATGGCGCAGGAGTACTAAGTATTATTAATACAGTTTTGCTAGAACTCATCTAGATGAGATATAATTTGGTCTCATTCATCTTTTATAGCTATTGGATGTGATGCTATAAGATGCACGTGTGCTGACGTGGGTTGTATTTGTTCTTGTGCAACAAACTGACCACTGCATGTCATGTTTGACAGTCTCAAGTCATTAAAAGCATACAAGCCCCACATCTCTTTGTTGATTCCTCTATTTATGTCAAAAAGTAAGAAACAACTTGAGAGTTAATGCACCACGCCTATGTGTTTACTAGTATTTGGTTTTCGTAAGATGACTTAATACTCACCTAGACGGAGGGAGTATTCGATTTGACAGTGGGCGGCACAGTTCCCAATACGGCTTTAACGCAGACGAGGGAGGGAGTAGCGGTTTCCGATATGTTGAACGGCCAATGCATCCTCCTTCAATTAATGCATGAGGGAAGTAATGGGAGGAGGTCCGGAAAAAGAGGCTGCACGATGTGAATGCAACGCAGTTTGCCCTGATTGCCCTCATATAAAGGCGCCCCTCCATTCAATGCATCTACCACATCGTACGCACCTAAGCATTTGCCTAAGCACCTACACTAAGCGCAAAAGAGCTTGCTCCAGACCCATGGCGGCAATGCGCGTGAGCGGCCAGCGGCTGCGCCAGATGGTCCACGACGCCGGCCTGCGCCATGGCGCCGAGGATCGTCTCCAGACGGTGTAGGAGACCGGCTGCTGGATGGCCGCCGTCGACGCCAACTACGACTCTCAGTTGGACCAAATGATCGTTGCCACCAGCAACAAGTTCACCGTCCTCAAGAAGCTCGCGGACGACATCCCCGTACTCCTCCAGCCCGCGCGCCCGGGCTCCTCATTGCCTGCCACCCTAATCGGCCTCCATGGCTGGAACCTCTTTCAAGCACTGGTGGCCCTGCGACTGCCCGCCGACGCCATGAAAAATGTCCACCTGGAGGTCGCGCTCGCCGCGAGGCGCCTCGCCCTGCAAGAATTCTTCGACCTACACATCCACGCGTACGAGCAAATCGTGTACATAGGTATCTACAAGGCCAGTGAGGACGCTACGACGTTGGCCTTCCTCAACCAGCTGGAAGCCTTGGATGCCTTTGTTGAGAAGCACCTCGACCTCGCCACAAAAGCCGCCGCTCCTTAGCCGCTGGTCGGTGGCCCGGCGCACTAAGTTGAGGAGGAGGAGGTCGTACGCTCGTGGATCAATCTTTCTTCTTGCCTTCTGTAACCACCACTGCGATCGCATCATCGTGGCCTTAATTCTTATTGTGTTGTTGCATTCTCGTTCCAGTCAATACCGACATGTGTGATCCCTTTGCTTAATTATATGCATCACTGTAACTAGTACTCCATCCGTCAATTTATAAGTTGTTCTTACCTTTTCCATCAACTTCGTGCACCGCACGGGCATCTTGCTAGAAACACTAGAATATGTCTATATAATCCGTATGTGATCGTCCATTTGAAATCTCAAAAAAGACAAATATTTAGGTACGAAGGGAGTAATATATTAGGAGTATATCAAAACAATAGTGATTTCTTCCAAGTTTGTGAACAAATACTACTATTCTACTACTTTGGATCCGTTGCAACGCATGGGCACATTGCTAGTAAAAGGAAAAGGCCTGCCGCGTTCGCGTCGCACCCCCACACACCCGGGAATCGGGAGTACAACACGGCCCATCTGGCACGACACATAGCTTAGGGAAGGCGTGTTGCCTGCCTAGCATTTCCACTTTCATGTGGGACCGCCGTTGAGCAAACCGACACCCCGCCCGCCGCCGGGTTGGAAAACAGAAACAAGGGGAAGATCTAGCTGTAGCACGGAAGCCAAGAAATTTTGTGTCAGACGGGGCTCGTTGATAGAGTAGGAGCATTCCGTACTAGTACTACTCCTACTAGTACTACCAAGTTTGTACTCCTAATACTATATTACTAGTACTACCACTATACAACTACTAGTAGATACGTGCACGACACAACATCGTAGGAACAAAAAATGGGAAGATCTTGTTTTGGGTGATTTATCTTTTTTTCAATCAACATAGTATGAATAATATGACGTGGGGGGCACCCATGAAGCTTATGTGGCTTGGTTGCATGGCTACGGAAGGTTAGAGAAAAATAAATAGATAATGTGTTTAGAGTGCACTCCACTAAATAGATATAGTTTGGATCCATTGCAACGGACCGTCACATCTATATCTATACCCCCTACATAGTGTGTGAAAAACTTTGAAAGTTGGTCGTTGGATGAAGCCAATCCGACGGTACAAAGATGGCAAATCCGAGCACTACTGGCCGTTGGATATCATCCACCAGATTCTGCCACATGTATAATCTAGAAGACTCCATGGTTGAACTTAATTCATGACTAACTTTGCCACAACTAAGCTTAGGCAAAGTTATTAGTTCTTCAAAATGAGAGCCACAAGTTGGCAAGCCTAAGTAAATCTTGCCACATTTTTTGTGTGTATGTCATGTGGGGCCTTAGTGTGGCTTGCCTAAGGTGTGGCTTGAACCAAACACTCACGCAAGTTAATCAAACTTGCCTAACCTTACATTCCACCAGATTTTGCCACATGTTAGAATCCAGAAAACTCCACATGTAGAAGCATGATGCACAAACCACCAGAATCTCATGCGTGCAATGCACGTGTACCTTACTAGTACTAATTGGTAGTAGTAAGAAACAAATTCCAGTTTTGGCACGAGCTCGTACTGCGGGAGCACCACAAGGCCTGCCGCAGGAGTTACATTTCCCTCTCGGGGCCCATGGGACCGAACTTCAGTGGCTTAGTGCTCGGACTATGAGTCAATGACAAGCGGACCTTAAATGCGGCTGGCCCACATGTCATTCTCATGGTGGTGGCATGGTTTGTGACTCACTCGTTCGAGATGAACCGACCGGAGTACGGATGAAAATGTGTCACAGCCGCTGGATGAAAATTCGATGGTGCGGGAGTACGGATTGGAGCACAGCAGTGGAGCAGGAAAACCGCGTCTAATCGGGTGTGTCTGTGGTAGAAAGTTGATGGTCGCCGCAGTTTAGCTGACCCGCATGTCATGCACACAAAGGCAGAGGAGCGGTGGGGCCGAGAGGGATGTGGGGCACGAACAATCCTACCATTCTGTCACTAACATATGGGACCCATAAGCGTGGGTCCCAACTGTGAGCGAAGGAAAGGTAGGGCAAGGCAGTGCTAGCCACGTCAGAGGATCCATGTCCACGTCGGGGGACGTCGTGCCGTGGGTTGGAGCGGCGTCGTGGGAATCGCATGTGGGTGTGGCAGTGGTAGAAATAAGAAACGTGATGGTCGCCGTGGTTCAACTTCCATGGACAAGCTGTCGTGTCTAGTGACACATGTATATCAAAACTAGAGTGTTTATATTTCAAGCACATGAACAAGTATTATTCTACTAGTTTGGATCAATTGCAACGCACGGGCCAACACATTGGTAGTAGTAGTGTCCATCTCTATCTCTGGAGGCCTTCCCTCTTTCATCCTTTTCTCTCACAAGATAAACTACTCATACAAATGCATCTTGATGTTCCGTGGAACGCACGAGGATGTTTCCTTGGGGGTCTCTCCAGCGCGGCGTGGCCGTAGTTGCAAGTTGACGCCCCTTGAGATGCCGACATTGAGGGGCACTCGGATTTCCTCCGATGAGCAGGTAAGATGAGTTTGATCACGTAGTAAACACATTCTAAAGACTACTTTCGTGTCCATTTCCTAATTCTCCCCCTGCCCACTGTTTCACAGGCTAGGCTCGGTGCAAGTGGAGATTGGCTTGCATATGTACGGTAGGGTACCAACATCAATTTGCACAACACTTACAATGGTGACACCATTTCGTAGAACCTTTGTCCAACATCGGGATCCGCCATGCAACGGGCCACCGCATGAACTGGTGCGATGGAACCACGGTGAGATTGAATAAAAGATAGCACGAACCTTGCACATGGCGGTCAAAGGCGTACCATGCTGTCTGCGGTCGATTTGTTGCCGTACGAGTAGGAAGCTGTTGTGCTCCTTTCTAACCGCATCTTCGCGGTGACAAACCAGGGGACTTATTTTGTATGGGACACATCCTACAATATACTCCCTCTCTCCCAGTTTATTTGTTTTGAATCTTTTCATTTTATAAGTTTCAAATTCAAATTTAGAGCTCCCCAGCACATGTTGAGATTACAATGTCCATTCAATCGTTGCGTGCATGTATAGTAAAGAAACAAATCTCAAATTTGGCACGAGTTCATGCTGTGGGAGCACCACAAGCCTGGCGCAGGAGTTACATTTCCCTCGCAGGGCCATCGGGACTAAGCTTCAGCGCCTTACTACACCTACCTTTGAGTCAATAACATGTGGACCCGATAGGTGACTAGTCCACATGTAATGCTCCCGAAGGCAGAGGGGCAGTGGGGCCAAGAGGGGTGAGCCGCAGGTCGGGGGATGTGTGGTTTCATGGGTTCGAGCGGTGGCGTG